CAGCACTAAGCGCACACACTTTGATCTTGATTGTCGCGTGCACCAATTCAATAGTTAACGTGACTTATTCGCTCATACGCCACTGCAAGCACAGTGTTACGACACTGTGAGACCTGCTATTCCAGCAACACCACTTAGAATGAAAAACGCAAGCAACATGCAAATGACAAGGCATGGTCTCATTACTGATGCACTTTGCTTTCCCCGAGGGACGGGATCCGCGAAACATATCTTTTTTTTTCTTCTTTTGTCAAAGCTGCCAGCGTCACAGCGAGGCTGAAATGCGGCACCGTGTCGACACAGCCCCGAATAAACAAGTTAGCCCAAATAACTTTTCATTGACTTCGCCTTTTGGCCCTGCGATTTCCTAACAGGGGGGATGATGACAACAAAGATGTGCTCTTTCGTGGCGCCAACGCACATCTACAGACAGGCGCGCCCCCCTCTCAAACCGTCATAGGGGCGGCCGTGTAGGCCGGTGTAGTGTCCACGCCAGGCCGTCATTCCCTCGAATGCAAGCCCATCGAAAGGGATAACGAAGCGATCCCTTATTCCGACCATCTGGCGTTGCTCGGCGCTTGGCTCGATGGAATTAGCCGCAAAGCATGTCATCCCTGCTACCTCAGCACATTGCCGGGGACAGCGGGGCGTGAGAGGGAAGAAAGGGCGGGGCACCGTACAGCCGAAGATCGAAGAAGGGGGGGGGGAGTCTACGATGACACCATTACGTTTTAAGAAGGCTGCAAGATCAAACAAGACAGCGACGAAGAGGATATTTCCGGTTCGCGCCGCCCCTCGAAGCACACTCGTTCGATGCTGTCTCGGTGGCGGCCGCGTCTGTTCCGACTCACATTATGTCAAACTTAATAACGGAGAGGACCAGTCACGCGCGCGATCTCATTGGAAAACTCGTTGGCCCAGCGCGAGCCATAACTGAATAGATAGATAGAGAGATAGATAGATAGATAGATAGATAGATAGATAGATAGATAGATAGATAGATAGATAGATAGATAGATATAGATAGATAGCGTGTGGCACACAAATCCCACAGGCTGTATACTGGTCACGGGCATGGGAGCGTGCTAGCTCGGCGCACATTGCGCAGGATCGATGTTTGGCGAACGTCTATTTTTGCGCTCCTCTGCTCTCAAGGGTCGTTATGTGGCATACTGGATGGCGCCCCGCCGAACTGGTGTTTGAAGCAAATGCTGACCTTGGGGGCAGCGTTCGAAGAACGCGAAAAAAAAAAAACGCAGAAAAAAAAAGTCGAAAGACGCTCGAGCTTCGTTTTCATGAACATACCGCGACAGCGCGATCGGGTCCCGTTCCCATCGCCTTCAACCGTGTCGCAAGAAAGGGAGCGTTTGTTCTTGTAAAATGGACTGTTTCTAACTACCGCAGAAGACTTACCGGATGCACGTTTCTCAAGTGGCCCATGCGTCGAAATTCTTCCTTTTGCTCACTGGTAGAGCACCCGGCACGCGTCCGTAAGGTGCCACGTGTAGTTGTGCACTTTGCGTAGGCGGGGAGCTTTAAGCCACCCGCTCGTTGCGCACATCGTAAAGTCCGCACTGTTCATCGTTATCAGGGCGTTCGAAGGACAAGGACAATAATGCTATTTGGCGTGAGCATGTGCTAATTTTGCGACAGTTGGCTATGCTGTAAATATATAGTTTGGCCCGAGTTACGTTAAGCCACAATGACAGCATACGACAGCCCCCCCCCCCCCCTCCCAGTTTTTCACATTTGAATTAATCTAGCATAAGTACACCGCCACGTCTAGAAAGCAACTGCTAAGTAACGCAGCGGAAACAAATTGACAGATCCCACATACAGTGGGAATCGATGATATGCGAAACGCGAATGAGGAAGGGTGGTAAGTCACTTTAATATCAGCACAAAGTTAAGAGGCGGAGTTAAATTATGCCGTGCATAGCTTTCATGTCATCATTATCATGTTTAGACGTTTAATTTACTTTCATCATCTATTTACGTCACCTGATACCAACTTTGGTATATTTGGAGCTAGCGGAACGGCCACGAGCGTGCTATGAGCGTAGCATGTATCCATGTTTTACATGAAATTCATATCATGAATATCATAATTGGACGTGTCAATTCCATTCGTCATCCATTCACGTCACGTAATACCAAATTTGGTATATGTGAAACTAGTGAAACGGCCGCGAAAAAGCTGTGATCATAGCATGTAGTCATGTTCTACATGAAACGCATATTATGATTATCAGGTTTGGTCTTGTGATTTCACCTTTGTCGTCTATTCACTTCCCGTGATACCAAATTTGGTACATGTGGAGCTAGCGCAACGGCGGCGAGCACGTCATGAAGGGCCCAATATACTCCTACGCACGGAGGAAGGAAAGGTAAGAGAGGGCATGCCCAGCTGGCGCGCTGCGTGAAAAGTGTGGAGGAATTGACATCATGGCGGCCATATTCACTGGGCACAATGGCGGTGTTGTTATTGCTACGTGTTGCGCAGTGGAACTGGTCTAGCAGTGAGCGGCCGCGGCTGGTGGCGGCATGTGTGCCTCCCCAGGTCTCGTGCTGAGCCGTGGCGGACAATATCCATGCTCTGCGCCACGTTATTGGTTACGCAGTGTTCTCCTGGCAGTTACATTACTCTTAGCAACGTTTACAAATCCTTGTCCATCACGGGGTTTCGACAGTGCGTAGAACGAGTGCATATCCATGTGTCGTGCGACAGATGACGCGGATGAAGCAATTAGTGTTCATCGAAACTGCGTTGGGCACCATGACAAAGAGGAACGACAACGAACGCCTTGCAGGTCAGTGACGGTTGGGCAGTGCTCCTGCTTCTGACAACGGACGACGCTATTGAGCCCAGCAAGACGCAATGGGAACCATGTGCACATACGTAGTTTCGTGTTGTGTGTGTGCAGTAACAACTTGCATGTGCGTATTAAAACACCTTTTCTGTACCGCTTCGTATACTTTCCCCCACGCATTGCATGTAATCTCAACGTAACAAGAACCGCGTTCAAGTGTCACTTGAATCATGCTTGAAGTCACCACGGTCGCAGAATGCTGACGCCGGTGAGTTTCACGCGGAACACGGACACAGTGGCCGGACGCTGCGTCGGCCGCGTGGCGGAATGCAACCGTAGAAGGCGCACGACCGATCGTGTTGTCTGTACAGTTGCTGAATCAATGACGTGTAAACACTCGCCGTTGTCAGTGAATCTAGCGCGCGTACTCTTACACTTGCTTCGTTGTCGGTGAGCTGTTATAGCTGTTAATACTCGCATGAAACGATTTTGCCGAAGGTGTCGTTGAGTCCCGTTCCACTAGTTTTGGATCGTTACGACACGCGCGCGACGCAGCTCACGTGCTTTCCGAGCCGGAGAGAGAGCCGTGCCTTCTGCTTTACACTCGGATGTAAACAAGAGAGGAGAATTTGCCCAGTCAATATGGCTGACTTCCGGCTTCATCGCGGCTTCACAACGAGTGACGTCAGGGCCTCTAGTACCTTTTCTTCCTCCGTGCTCCTACGCAACGTTGACGCACGCGCAGGTTGGGCGCAGTGACGCCACGCTAGCAAAGCGCGAGCGCTCTATAGTGTGACGCCACGCGTTACCAGCGTACGTCGGCGCAACCCGGTGGCAACCGGCGCGAAATGCGACCCGCTGCATTTTGCGCCGACGTCGTTACTTAGCACCGCGTCTGCCTCTCTTCGTGACGTAGGGACGCCATGTGCGCTCAAATGCGCATGCGTCAAAGCAACGCAGCTCGGCGCGTGCCTGCGAGTATATGGCACGCAGATCCAGAATGAAGGTCAGTGGGCAGATCCACTGATTTCTACCAGGCGGATAGCGACGCCTGACGTGGCATCGCGGGCGTAACGCCATAAAACGAACGCCGCTGCGCACACGCACCGGCTCACGTGGAAGTGTATTGGCGCCTTGAGTGTGGCGTGTATTAATGTACCTACATGACACGCATCTCATGACTATCGTGTTTGCACCAGCCACATACCTTCGTTATCCATTTCGGAACGTAATACCAAATTTCGGCATATGTGAAGGTAGCAAAACAGCCACGAGCGCATCAAGAGCGTGGTACGTAGTCATGTATTACATGACACGCATGTCATGATCATAATGTTTGGACGTGTTACTTACCTATGTTTTTCGTTCGCGTCACGTAATACCAAATTTGGTACATATGAAGCTAGCAAAACGGCCGCGAGCGCATCATGAGAGTAGCATGTAGTCATGTTTTTACATGACACGAATCTCATGATTATTATGTTTGCACCAGTCACATACCTTCTTGATGATCCATTCACGTCCCGTAATACCAAATTCGGTATAAGAGAAGCTAGCGAAACGGCCGCCAGCGCATCATGAGCATGGCATGTAGTCATGTTGACGCATGACACGCATCTCATGATTACCATGTTTGCACCAGCCACATACCTTCGTCATCCATTCACGTCCCGTAATACCAAATTTGGTATATGTAAAGCTAACGAAACGGCCGCGAGCACATCATAAGTGTGGCATGTCGTCATGTTGTTACATGACACGCATGTCATGATTTTGATGTTAGGGCCTGTCGCTTGTGTTCACCATGCAGTCATGTCATACCACATCAGTTTTGCAACATATAAAGTGAATGAAACCACCGCAAGAGCAGCAAGACCATGACTTGTAAGTCATGACATTTATGGCATACATGTCGTGATTTTCATGTTATGACTAGTCAGTTATGTTCGTCATACCGTGATGTTAAATCATACTAAGTTTCGGTATCGATGCCATAATCCAAACGGCCAGGAGAGCTAAAAGTCGTAGGCGGCTAGATAGATAGATAGATAGATAGATAGATAGATAGATAGATAGATAGATAGATAGATAGATAGATAGATAGATAGATAGATAGATACGCTCAAAGCCGCCGAAGCTCAGTAAGAAATGCTTTGCATTTAAAATACCACACAAGGAAAGCTGTCTTACCTTTTTAGTTGGAGGTGAGAGGCTGATGTCTTGTTGCGAGAGCAGAATTCGTCGGCGCATTTGTTTGACAGCCAATTTGCGTCTGCGGTAAAGAGGATAATGAAGCAGTTTTGAACGAAATCACTCTCATAGATACACGAACAGCAAAGTCCAATAAATTGAAACTAGTTCGTCTGCAAGTATGCATAGGTCACGTAAGTGCACGTTGAAACACCGTCAGAAATATCCATGTTACCCGCACCGGTATACGTACGGTGGGCTGTAAAAAGTTTCGCATTTCACTATTAGAGTTAAGCATTGAAAATGAGATGATTTTTTCTGTTCGGCATGATACGTTTATCATCGGGAAACATGATTACAATTCGTCGCCAACTTTATTTCACAGTTTCACGCTCCTCCCAATCTCGGCACTATTCGGGCATGAGAACAAATCCGAAACTTTTCTACAATAGACAGAAAAGAGATGGTGCCCTCAGGATCAGTTAAGCTTGCAATTGAACCAGAATAACTTGACACACTCCTCATCCCCTTAATGCTGGGTATGCACAGCTGGAGTTATATTTATCTAACTCGATTCCGGTTTATATTGGCTCTTTTTTGTTAGAATGTAAAGATTAACAAAACATAATCCGTCCACAGCTCGCTTCCTGCTTGCATCACAGTACAAAAGTATTTGGTATAAGGTGCAGCAAACTGCGCTATAACTTTTGCTTCGTACTTTAAGATTCGACTATAAAATTTATTTACATTGTTTCAGAGAACAAAAGAAAACATTCGGGTAGCTTTAAATTTCGCCTCGAAGAGTTGAACGCGATAATATATTCTGCACTTAGTGCATACTTCAAATACTCTGTGCATATTTTCATTGCTTGATGTTTCTCGAGAACTTTAGTTGGTGTCTACAATGTAACCTATGAAGGTGAATGTGCCTTGTGTCAGTGAAGCTCTAGCCTACGGCGGAATTCTGTGTAAAGGGTAGCATGCTTTAAATCATGGGCAATTATGGGCGTCAAATCTTTTCGAACTTGCAATACACCCACTACGGGGCCTTGAGGGAATATTCACAGTAACGCGTGTGCCTTTTGAAGTGGGTCTGCGGCTTTAAACAATGAAGCAGTTATAATAATCGAATGTCCTGACGCCGGATGACAATGTATACACGCTTGCACCACGCATTATGACTGGGATATTACATGTTGCACTGTGAATACTTAATACACGGTGCATGTGTTTGTAAAGCATGAAAGTTACTTAAATTTCACTGCATTTCCAAGCAGACAGAGTATTTTGACTGTATTCTCAAGCAAACACATAAAAAATATGCATGGCTTTGGGGCAGAACATCTGCCACGCAAACGACCCAGGTTCGGTCCTCCCTCAAACCTGGAAATATTTTATTATTTATTTTGTTTGCATCTTTCTCGATTTGTTGGCCACGCACAAGAATATGATTTTTCGTTCACAATAAACGATGCTGCAGCCGGAATTCCTGCGAAACGAGCTCTTTAACGCTGTCGCGTTAAAAAGACAACAAAGACAAGCAAAATGCTCCAACTGGTATTAAGAGTAGTGAGTGTTACCTACGAAATACTAACGAAAATTGACTGCAAACCTGTAGAAAACAGTCGTCGAACGCTTCTTGCACAATAACTTGAGGCACCATGGTCACACGCTGCTGTGTGTCCACTACGTCTCCTCTAGACTTACATTTTTGTTCTTCAAACTGTTTGAACCCATCAAACACACAATTTTCACTCACTGTTTCACCATCGTACCACAATTGCGTTAATACTGCGTGAGTGTCCATCAGTGTATTGCCTAATTTGAAGCGAAGGCTTCGTGTTGAAGGGTTACTTTATTTACGGTCTATATCGCTATTCCTTGTTAGCTTGGTCACAACGTTTACCGCGGCTTCAGTGACCCACAGAATAGGTAGTATAAGAAGCCTGCGCATGCGCAGGCTTCCTATACTACCCAGGGATGCTTCAAACTATTTGATTGATTTGCGGGGTTTAACGTCCCAAAACCACCATATAGTTATGAGAGACGCCTGTAGTGGAGGGCTCCGAAAACTTCAACCACCTGGGGTTCTTTAACGTGCACCCAAATGTGAGCACACGGGAATGCCTTTAAACTATGAGGCCATTCAATGAGCTTTCCGAAACACACCATCCTAATTATAATAAATAACATATATTTTCGGGTTTTACGTACCACAACCACAATATGATTAAGAGAGACACCGTCTGGCGTTTTTTTTTAACGTGAACTGACATCGAACTGTACATGGGCCTCCGCCATTTCGCCTCCATCAAGATGTGAACACCATTGCCAGGATCGAACACGCGACCTTCGGGTATCTTAACCACTGTCCAGCCGAGTACCTTAACCGGAGCCGCCATGGGCAGACACACCACCGGAATCATCTGACTCTGAATATGCGTGTATGAATAACGTACCCATTACTGTTTCAGCAGCTTCGTTCTTGTTTACGTTTATTGTGCTGTAATTGTTACAACCACCGTATATCTTGATTTCCGGTTTACTTCTCCTCAGCGCAAGCACAATGTTGTCACATTCCAGATGAACGTTATAAATATTAAAGATGTATGTTCAGAAATAACCAGTCCCATTGGTCCCATGGCAAATGCACCTAAGCGAATTTGTGTGTTTGATTTCTTTTATTTCGACAAGATAGTCCAATAAAAACAGGATAGAAGAAGGCTTTCAGAGTAGCTGAATAAAAGAGCACAGTTTTTCCTTAAAGCCCTCAAGGGAACCACCGTTACCACCTGAACATGGCGCAGGCGCATTAACGTTTTGTTTCTGATGCAACAGCTAGAGAAGCGTCAGTAAAGAGATAAAAAAAAGGTCGACGTTCAGCTCCCGCGTTCACGAAGCAATCGTACTCGAGTGAGCTCATCACTTATCTAACACGTCAAACCGATAAAAATTGCGTCTTAGAAGACATTGTGGAACAAAACTAGCTAAAGAAGCTTTTGGGTTTGGTGTGTATGAATGAACTTTCCAAACACGCCATCTTACGACAATTGATTGCAGCGTTGATTTATAGGGTTTATATGCGCTTAGAGAACGGAAGAGGAAATGAAGTGGTAGTTTATATTTTTCTGTAGGTTAATTTGGAAATTGAACGCATTTATAATCGACCACAATTTTGGCAAGCGATCAATAACTAATTAAAGACTGGTTAAAACACAAGATATAAAATACCAGCAAGCACTACTTTATTTAGCGAAGAGGTAAAGTCTTTAAAATAAATTTATTTTGCTGTTTTAGGACAAAAGGTAGAGATAATTGCGCCGTCACTGAGTATTTTACTCATTTATCTCTGGGACATAGAGTCGAAACGGGTTGATACTCATGTCTAACGAAGGCCCATTAAAAACGTGATACAAGCACTCTTTTAGAAAATTCTCTGTAAAGAGTGCACCGCCACAAACACAACATTATTGCGGCAAAGCTAAAGCATACGTGCTTGGTGTTCCAAATTTAAACATCCAATCAGCCTCCCCCCCTCCCCTCTCGCCCGACATATTTTCAAGTTCTGAGTGCAATATGAAATAATTCGATTCTTTAACACATAGTCTGATTTTAAAATAATAAGTCTCATGCAAGCGCCCAAACACCCCCCCCCCTCTACCGCAAAACGAAAAAAAAAAAACGAACTCACGCACAACTAAAGCGACAGCTCATTAGTCATCAGAGCAAACTGTGCAACCTATAAGGTATGTGAAAAAAATTGTGAAGCATTTACAGCTCGGCTTTTTGGTGCGCTTCCCTGTTAATAAGCAGAAGCACCAACGACAGGAAAAGAACAAAATCCTATGTTTGTATGTTCAAGCGTGAGTGTCTACGGATAAATGAAAACACGGCGGTTATGTTTGCGTATTCCTGTCTCGTCTCCTCGCACTTCTCCGTATAAGCAGTCATGTTTGGTGATGTGTGATTTACTGATCACGGATGTCTTCTATGAACACCGCCGAACGCAGTTAGGTTGCCCCTTGTTTTGTGGTGTAGTCGTGTATTCTGCTTCAGGACGGGCGGTTGGATGGACAGACAGACAGGCATATATATATATATATATATATATATATATATATATATATATATATATATATATATATATATATATATATATATATATATATATATATATATATATATATATATATATATATATATATATATATATATATATAAGGAAAGAAGTGTATACCCAAGGGCTCGTTTTCTGTGTTTATACACAATAATAAGGAGATCTAACAGATAATAATGCCAAGGAAAGTATAGGGGAAGATATTAGACCCAACTGTAATGTAAATATGAAGAAAAGTGGGTGAAAAGATAACTTGCCGTGAGCAGGATATATATATATATATATATATATGACATATATATGATATGATATATAAAGATGCGAATATAGATAGATAGATAGATAGATAGATAGATAGATAGATAGATAGATAGATAGATAGATAGATAGATAGATAGATAAAAGCAGGTGGCTAGGTGATGGGAGCTGGAGGGCCGTCATACAGGGTCTATTTTGGGATGCCAGAGGTAATGGGCGAGCGATGCCTACTCACCTGACCAGAGCCGTGACTCCCAAGGCTGCCGATATGCACACTATCAGGGACGCTGTCACTCCCACCGTTTCTCCACTTGTTAGGGGAAAACCTGGTAGAAAGCGGTACAAAACAATCGGGTTAATATATCGAAGCATACTGTATCTTAAGATGAAAAAAAAACAACAACCACTAGACTGAATAAATTAATCGCAACGCAATTTTAAGCATCACTGTTGTGGCCGGGGAAAGATAATTTATTTCCTCGCGATGGGGTAAATTTCTGTTTGTTAGCATCTCATTAATTTTGTCAATAGAAACGACTAGCAGGAAACATTCTGTGTTGTCGTGAATTGTCAGTGTCAGTTTAATTAAAAACAAAAAAGGTCCCCTCATGCTATAGGAAACATCCTGCGAAACATTGCAAAAAAGCAATTATAAACAGTTAGTCAATGGCAAAAAATAGTAATACCACTAATACATATATTAGTATAAGCAGCAGTGAAAGTAGTACAGCGCCAATGAGAAGAGACTCAATTTGTTGCCCACTGGAGAATGCACATACTCAGCTTGGTAGCACATGCTCGGTTGTAATAAGAGGAACATTGTTCAGCACACAATATCTACAGTTTTTTTTAACTGTTGGGGTTCAACTAAACAAAACCACCATGTATATTATCTATTGTCCATTGTCACCTGATATAAGAGACTGTCACATAAGGTAATTATTAAAGGGGTTCAACTAAAGTTGGGGTTCAACTAAACAAAACCACCATGTATATTATCTATTGTCCATTGTCACCTGCTATAAGAGACTGTCACATAAGGTAATTATTAAAGACCTTCATGTGACTCAAGAAATTTTTGAGCATTCCTGAAAGAAAAAAAAAATGCAGCCTATTCACGGGGTGAATGATGGAGAGTGGGGCGAAGCATCCGTCCGTCCATTCGTTCTTGCTTCCGTCCGTCCATGCGTTCGTCTGTGTGAACGTCCATGCGTCCATCCGCCCGTCCGTGCGTGCGCCTGTTCGTGCGTCCGCACGTCCATCCGCGCGTCCGTCCTTGCGTTCGTCCATGCATCCACCCCTCCGTCCGTTCATGCGTTCATCCGTCCGTGCAGCCATCGGGGCGTCCATCCATGCATCTGTCTGTGGGTCCGTTCATCCATCTAGTCAACACTCCAAGTACTACCATCTCGCATCTTTTTATCATATATTCCGCATATAGAAGCACAGCCATCCAGCGGACATTCCAAGGACTAAATGAGAGGTGGCACACGCACAGTTTCTTACGGCTTGTGCTTCGTGTCTACTTCCCACCTTTGACTACCTCGAGTTCACGGTATATACTAGTTCACTGTATTTATGGCACTGTGGCCCAACGCTCGCTAAACATTTCTAAAACCAAGGGGGCTACGCCCAGCGAGTATAACGTAGCGACCCTTTTTTGTCAGATAGTGCTGAATGTACATGCCAATGGCTGCTAATGTGGAATGAGAGACAGGAGAATTCGGCTTTTAGTTAACGCGTACGCTGCGAATTTTCTATTGTTCAACAACGCACAGGAGAAATCTCCTACCGGCACCACTTTGCAGGTCAAAGCGTAAGACATGTTACGTACTACGACGAGGAACGAACGGGTGCTGCTTTAAGCAGCTTCGCCCCTAAAAAACGCGAAGAAAAGAAAACGAATGACACGACGGAATAGGCATGGTATCATCAAAAATGTGCATTTTCAGCTGATTTTGAATAATTGATTGTTAGAATATTTGGAGCGATGAACGTACAATGAAGAATTCCTGTGAGACTTTATCAAACACGATTAGCGGTAATGCACTTATAAGACGACCTAGCATTTTGTGCAGCACTGCGAACTTTACACTAAATAAAGAGAGACGAATGACACCATATGGGGCAGCATGCAAATTGTACGCTGTTATACCGTAGTAGAGTAAGTTTGCAAATGGAATGACAAACTGGAAACCTGACGTGCTACAAGAAATACAGAGAGAGAGATGATAGAGAGAGAGAGAGAGATGAGATGAGAGTGACATTCGCGTTAGAAGGCTCTACAGGTGCTACTGGACTTCGTGCGATCTACCGGATATTTGAGCACGCAACGAAGAAAAAATAGCGAAAATCACAAATTTAGCGTCAGCGCTTGGAAAGTGAGTGAGCTTCAACGTGCGAAAGGAGGGTAAATGGTCTGGTCTGCTAGGATCCAAGGACGGCAGGAGTGGCATCAAGATTACGCGGTGAGCCTACGCGAGTGGTGGCGAGGAATGAGCCACCATACGCGCGACGTTAACCCTCGTTTTGTTCCTCACGTGCATGCGATGTCTGTGTGCACAAGCGGGACTTAAAATGTGCTCGTAGAGTTGGACACACAAGTCTCGTCTTCACAGATGGCTCGGGAAGCGCGGCGAGGCCAGAGCCAAGCGCTCTTTCTCCAACTATTATAACAGCGTCTGACAGTTAATCGCGCTTAGCGAGCAAGACCTCCATTGCCTCGCTTTTTTTCCCCTTCCTCTACTAGATACCATTCGCCGCAGTGTTGCAAAGGCGTGTCCCACCTGTGCCCCAGGAATTATCGTGCGAGAGGCCGCGACCCTAGCTTAACCGTAAATTTCCGACGTGCACGCGCCCCGCCTCGTAAAGTGCCAGCTCCCCGCAAGAGCGCGCTGTCACCTTTTTCGCGTTGTGCCGCCGCTGGCAAAAAAAGTGACAGCGTGGAACCAAGAAGCTCGCGGCATCTCTACAAGCCCCGGTCGGTTCGTAGAGGTGGAAGAGAGGGCGATTTAACGAGCGCAGAAAGATTAGGAGGGCGGTGCATTTATTAACAACTCGCGTTGTGCGAGGCCACGCGCTTCCCGTTGTCGTTGGTCCGAATAATAACGGCCTTCTAACGGTACACTTTCCGAGACGTTAGTTTGAGACGCAAGTTTTTACGAGTTGCCTAGAGTGTCCACGTCTTGTGAGTGAGTGGAAAAGAAGCAAGAGACGTTTGAGCCGTACTCGAGTGGAATGACTGCAGATCGATGAACGCCGCGCGTAAACGGCGCCAGATCGTGTCCCGCCCACTGCGTGACGTAGACAACTTTCTTAACTTCCTTGAAGTTTTTCAGCGGGAACTGCAGCAGACGCATATTTTATGCGCCTAAATTAATAGCTGCGTAATACTCTATAGGAGGTCTTGTTGGTCTTGTTGGTCTCGGATTTAACTGAAATACTCAGTGGTCTGTCCAATAGTAGGGGACAAGGTTATATATGCGTTGTTGAACAGTGGCTTGATTAATGTGTAAACATGCTAGAAACTTTTGAGGTTTCGTAAGCTGCCCAAGCGAAATAGGTTGATACCTAAATATCGACTGAGAGAGAAAGAGAGAGAGCGAAAATTTATTAAAAGGCAGAGAGGTCGGCCTGAGCTAGTTCGTCCTAGCCTGCTATTTTACATATGGGATAAGAAAAGGGGAAAAGAAAGAGGGATCAAGGATGATGATCGGGACAGAAAGATATGGTGCGCATGTACAATAGCCACTTAGCATAGCAGCCTATGGCCTAGTATCTAGGTAAGTGCTTTTATAAAGCCTAAAATAATGATTTTAGCAGCTTTTGACACCGTTTGGTCGCACGTTGCTGACAAAATGTTGCTTTCACTGAGTGGCGTTTGTCCGATGCCTGCCAACGCTGAATTTAACATTTTTCTTGGCATCACGTAGTGATCGCGATGAATATTATATTGAGACAAACACCACGAAGTGCTTTGAGGCAAGAACACCACTTTTGGCAACAAAACTTTAACGTAATCAGGTTATCCCTGCTGGAACGAAGCACATCATTAGCAACGTGCTTCTTTTATGTGCAGGAGTATACTACATTGTTATAACAAAAGCCCCATTAAGAGAGAAAAATGAGCCATTGTCTAAATCTTTACATCTAAAATGATATAATTTAATGATAGTCGGCGGGACCCACCGGCAACGACGTACTCTTAAACACATTAATTAAAATATAGTAGTTTACAATCGTCTTCAAAGGGGGACACTATACGTCAACGCCTTTGAAAAAGATAGAAAGAGTGCTAAAACGCCGAACGAATCACAAGTAAGCGCAAAAGTATTGCAAGTGAGTCCTTCTCCATGATTTCGACACATAATGCGATCGATAAACAGGCTGCGTTAGCAATTCTTATTGATGAGCTTGCCCGATAATTTTTTGCGCACACAGCACGGATGGGGAGCGCGCGACACGAGGTGACACCACCGCGCGGAACAAAACAAATTTATCTTTAACACTCGCTGTCGCCACCGACGCTTGTTGGGAAACACTGGCCCTGAGCTTACGTCGCACTTTCCTGATGTCAAACTAATGCGCTGTTGGCCGCTGAAGTATGTACTTAAAATGTGGAGAGAATGTATTATTTTTGTCTCTCTTCATTGCCGTAAACGCCATTTGATGTATACAAGGGGCCGAAGGCTCACCTTAACAAGTGGCACGCAGTGACAAAATTTAGCCCTGCAAGGACCGGAAAGAAGGTGAGAGCGGAGACGTGTAGAAGAGGGAGGGGGGGGGGGTGTTGAACAACATGTTTTTCAGCACTGCCCCTAATCCCTTTTGTCGATTATTTTGAGGATGGTTTGACGTAAGGATTAGGAAAGACGTTACCGATACTGACTTTCAGAATGATTTAAAACTGAACGGACATTGTGAAATACACAGTTTTTTTTCCCGCACTTGTGTTAGAATACATGGTGACCGCATGGGATACCTTGCGAAAAATGTGCTTGAGGCGAGTCCCGTCTCAGTATCTTACACGAACAAAGCGTTATCAATCCGACTAGGCAGTAAGCTACGTGAGTACCATTTACGAAAGTCGCAAACATTTTTACTGTTGAGTAATGTCACAAACATTTTATTCCTTTTGAAGCCGCAGGCCATGTGTTGGAGACCTGTTATGCTTACGGTTGAAGTACGTGCGTCGCGTGAAATGCTCAGTTTAAGACATCGTAGCGACTAGATGGGTGCGCTTATAACGCATCACGATTTGCCTTGACGCATTTAGACTGACTTGTATTTTCTATGCTCAATTTGTTTTAAGGTGGTAATGTTAAAA